TAAGCTCAAGACCATGTAACAAATTGCACTCTAGAACTGTGATTCAGATTCTGGCCCTGTCATCAGTCTCCTGGGATGCACTACTATTTCTCATCTTTCATTATAGAACAATTGCCTAGGCACTCTTGGGTCCTGGGACTTGGAGAGGATTGTGTTGGGGTTTCATTTTTTCAAAATTATGATAATAAAAATAAAGAGGGATTTTCCAGAGCCAATGAGCGTACATCTTTAGATTGAAAGGATTTACTTTGTGTTCAGCTCACTTAACTATCCATGAAAGGAAATGTATCCAATATAAAAATTGGTTTTGTGGTAGATATTATTTGCATAGTAATTATTTATTCAACAAAAGTTTATTGGGGACCTTCTATATACCAGACACTTATCTGGCTCTGGGGACATATCAGGGAACAGACAAGGACAGACAGGTTCCTTTTGCTCAGGTAACGTGTATTCTAATGGGTTAGAGTCACACATTTAGAAAAGAGTAAGTTTGGTTTTGCCTTGCATCCTTCTGAGACCAGCTTGTTCAACAGACCAAATAAACACACCTACTGAATTGTCTCAAAGGATGTTCATCCCATGTTTAATGTTTAAGTAACTATGGTTGTTTCTGAAGGGTGATCACTTGCTTTCTTTTGACTACTTTTTTAAATTTCCTGAATCTTTATAGTAAACATAGATCTTTTGTGCAAAACTTAAATTATTGCTTTAGAAAAAGAAATCACTACCTTCCATGTGAAAAAAGGACTGGATGGGGTTAGGGGTGGCAATGATCAGAAAGACCAGTTACAGGCTATTGCAGTTATTCAGTGAGAGGCAATGGCCTTGGACTAGGACAAAGAAACTTCACAGAGCTCATTATAGATTTGGGAGGTAGAAGTGACAGAACTTATTGGTGGGTTGGATGTGGGAGTAGTTAGAGGGGGTTACTGGCAAGAAGCATTTGGTATCTGAAGATATTTACTGAGGTGGCATAAATGACAAATTTCAGATTCAGGGGTGAGATTTTAAAAATCCATTCATTGGTTCTCAAAAGTTTTGAGCCTTCAAGTAAAATGCAAATAAGTATCTCAAGGAGGACATTACTCTGTAAGCCTTTATTGGCCAGTGTCCATCAATTCCACACTATTCCTTGGCAGTGAGCCACAGACAAGAAAGGCTCTACTGAAGAAGTAAAAGACCAACAAAGAACATAATTCATTTCTTTCTTTCATTCAATATTCACTCATCAATAGGCTATCTGTTATGTATCAGAGATAGTAGCTAAAGAAGAAAACACAATTACCTTGCAGACTGTGGAAACACAGAGGGGGTGACTAGCACACACTTGAGGGGACAGAGAGGTTGGCTTCAGGAAAGACTCACAAGAGGAGGTCACATCTGGCATCTGAATTGAGTTCTAGAGGAGGAGGAGGAGGTAGCCACATTTTGGGTAAGCATGGCTGTGTCACAAACTACCCCTGAACTGGCTTAAACCTCTGTCAAAATTGTTAATGCTCATAGATTTTGTGGGTCTGGAATTAAGACAGGGCACAACAGGGAACATTCATCTCTGTTTCATGGTGTCTCAGGCCTTGGTTGGGAGACTCTCAGGATGGAGCTAGAATCATCTGAAGACAGTTCGCTCACATGTCTAATGACTGATGCTGGCTGTTGCTGGGAGCCTCAGTCTCTCTCTCTGCTTGGACTACTTTGGATTTCTTCAAAATAAGATGACTGGTTCCACAAGTGAGAATCCCAAAAAGAGGAACTTAGGAGAAAGCTATATCCTTTTTATGACCTAGGCTTGGGAGTCATGCAACATCACTTCTGAGGAGTGTCAAAGTGCCAGGAGCATGAGGGATGGGATAAATATTGGTGTGGCTCTCCTTGGAAAACCCAGTCTTCCATACCAGGCAAAGATAGAATTAGGGAACAATATGAGGTTACCTAGCAGGGAAAGAAAGCATTTCTGGCTCTGGAAATTACATGTAGTTTGTAGAGACAAATATGTCTAGGTGTCTCCTGATAGTCATTCTTCCCTTCATTTCACAACAGGACTTCCAAATATTAGTTGGACACATTGACTGCTCAGTTAAATGACTCTATTTCCCAGCCTCCCTTGCAGCTAAGTAAGGTGACACGACTAAGTTCTGGCCTAGGAGATGCAAGTGAAAGTATTAGGTGGAAATTCCAGAATATGTCTCTTAAAGGGAGAGGATGCACATCCCTCCATCCTGCTGCCTGGAATACACCTGTGATGGCTGAAGTACTAGCAACTACTTTGGACCATGAGGACCAGGCAGTTAGTAGATCAGTGAACTGGGAGGAGCCTGGATCTCATATAACTTTGTTGCACTACCCAAGAACCCTAGGCTGCCAATTTCCTGACATCTTTGGATGTGAAAGAGAAATAAACTTCTAATTGTTTAAAACATTATTTTCTTGTTCACTGTTATATTCAGCAAAATCTTATCTTAAGCAGAATGCTTGGATTAGCTGCAGAGCAGGGTACACAGAAGTGGAAAGAACCCTTATCTTGATGGTGGTGAAAGGGAACTAACAGGTGTGCTATAGTTTTCAGATTGTTTTATTTAGAAACATCACCCTGGTGACACTGGCTTAATTTACAATTTTGTCCCAGATATACCCTACTGCAGTGGTTCTCAGTTTAGGATACATCAGATTTCCCTGAAGGTATGTTAAAACACAGACTGCTGGGCCCACCTTAAGAGTTTCTGATTCAGTAGGTCTGGATGGGGCCTGAGAATTTGCATTTCTAACAAGTCCCCAGACAATGCTAAAGCTGCTGGTCCACACATTTCAAGAGTCACTGCCCTAGAATAAGTCCTATCAAAGTACCCTAAGGGCAGACAATGGGTTCTGGGAAAGTTCATCCCCTCAGCTCCCACCCCCAGCCCCCCCCCCAACCAGACAGGCATTGGTATTGCTTTCATACCACTGCCTAGTACCTGCCCTGGGAAGGAGGAACCTAAAGAAGGGGAAGGGGCATTGGGTCCTACAGGATCCCTCAATATCTTTCTCTGCACAAGCCAAATGCCCCAGCTTCGTACACCAGGTGTGCCTGATTCCTTCGACTACCTCCAGGGATCTGGAGGAGGACAGACTCTTGTGAGGCCTTACTATTCTCTGCTCTGCTACTCCAAGCCTATTTCCTTGGGTGAAAAGATAGGGCAGTGACATCAACTTTGCAGGGAATTGGAGCATGTGCCAGGGCCCTTTCTATTCCAAAATGTGCTAAGCATGCTGGTTAATAATAGTGCAACTCTCCAAGTGCATAATGAAGTTCTAAGGATGTGCTTGTCTGGCAGGGTCTGGAGTCATGTCTCACAATCAAAACACATCCCTTTGCCTCCAGTGGAATCATCCAGTGTGGTTTCAGTGAGGGCTTCTCAGCTTTGGCATCACTGACATTTTGGTCTGGATAATTGTGTCATGGGGGCCATCCTGTGCATAGCAGGATGTCTAACAACATCCCTGGGCTTAACCCACTAGACATAAGCAGCACACACATCCCTACCCCTGCCTAATTGTGACAATCAAAAGCATCTACAGACATTTTACAGTAGAAAATGGTTTCTTCGTGCCTGGCCTATGTATTATAAGTGCTTAATAAATGGCTGCTTAGAATTAATTGAATGAGGAGAGTATCTCTCATCCAAAAGATTGCCCTGGACTACCTCTCTGATAACTAGTCAGAGCGCACCTCCTCTACCCTATTTTTTTTCTACAAATAATTCACTGAACACATTTTTATTGAGCACCCACTATGTACACAGACACTGACATAGGCGCTGGCCACACAACAGAAGACAAAACAAAAATCCCTGCCCCCTTAATGGTAGTACAACATGGAGAATAGTTGATGATCCTGTAACATTCTTACTATGTTGATAAATAGTGACCACACTAGAAGGGTGAGGATTTAATAATATGGGTAAATGGTCAACCACTGTGTGTATAATTGAAACCAACCTTAATTAAAAAAAGAAAATTTCTGTCCCCTTGCAGTTCCTGGAGCTTATGATCTAGTAACATCAAGACAGGAAACCAATTCATGGAGAAAACAACCAAGTTATGAGCCAAAGAACAAGTCCTCTGAGGAGAAACCATGTCCTCTACCCTACTTTTTCAAAGCCTTGTGCAAATGCCACTTCTTCCATGAAGACTTCCTTGACTGCCCCCACCCCTAGATGTATATACTCTCCCACTGAACGCTGACACCGACTGGTTTGTGTTCTAACACCTGTCATTTAGTCTCCTAAGTATCGATACATGTGTCTCATCTCCACTATTCACAAAGTTCCAACGGGGCTTTGTTAGACCTTGAGCACCTTCTATCTGCTCTGCCCAGTATCTTCCCTATAAAAATGATATTCTCCGGTATGCACATTTCAAATTTTCTAAAGCATGTTTCTATAAACAACATGAAAGAAACTTACACAATTTCTATTTTTCGCAATATACAACCTAAGTAAATTTTAAAGACGGTTTAACAACTTAATATTTATTGTGCACTTTACAGGGTCCAGGGCCTTTCCAAAGAAAAGCTTTACATAGATCAACTCATTTTATCCTTACAACAACCCTACGAAGCAGAAACTTATAAACCTCACTTCACATATGAGGCACAGACAGGTTAATTAATATGCCCACTAGTCACACAGCTAGAAAGTGGGCAGAGTTTGGATTTAGACAAGGCAGTCCATCTCCTGTCTGTAGGCCCCTAACTAATCTCAGCTAGACTGGCGGCCAACTTCAGGACCTGCACCCATCCAGTTCACAGCAAGACCACAGCTCCTGAAGCCTTTCTGTACAGGATTCTGCATTAGGCTGAAGTCTCCGAGGTCAGCGACTTTGGTTACCAATTCACTGTTGCCCAAGCGGTTAGCCCCGTGCTTTGAACGATGCAGGCTCTCCACTTTTGTTAGAGAGTGCAGTGCTGGGTGGAAAGTTCTTCCCGAGGTCTAACCGCTGGCTATTTCCATTTCCCACAGCCTACAGAAGACCTCAGCGAGAAGCCAAGCACAGGCGCCTGCGACCCTTGGCCACCAGGTGTCGCTGCGGCATCCCCGAGTCGGAGGGAGGAGCGGCCGCAGATCGCGAGCAGCATGTGGACGCTTGGGCGCCGCGCGGCTGCCAGCCTCCTGCCCGGCTCGGCGCCCTCGGGCTCGTCCCAGGCCCGCGCCGGGAACCTGCGGCAGACGAAGGCCTCCCCGCTCCACTGCCCGCCGGGCCTGCGCCCCGGGACCAGCGCAACCGGCGGGCCGGGCAACTCGGTAAGTACCAGCTCACAAAAGCCACGGGGGCTGCGCGCCGGCGGAGGGAGGCCGCGCACGCCGGGACGTACGGTGCACGCACGCCGGGCACGCGCGCCGCTGCCGCTCCCCAGGGCTGAGCTACTGTGGGGCGCGCTGCCCCCTGCCGGGCTCGGGCTCCACGCCTGGGCCCGCGGCCTGGCAACCCGCCTCTGTGCTTCCTGGGTGCCTTGGCTTTGGCTTCTGCTCTCTGGTGAACAGAGAGAGACCTCTTCCCGTAATGCAACGCAGGAGAACGGTACCGGCAAAGGCAGGGCAGGTGGACGGGGATGGCTCTAGGGAATCAGTGGTTGTCTCTAAGCTCATCACTTCTCTTTGCCAGAACTTACTTCTAGATACTGTAATATATACTAGGTACTGTATGTTATATATTAATATATACTAGGTACTATAATATACACCTATATTGTATGATAGAATGGTATAGACCTAAACAGACAGTTCTTCAAAGAAAAACGAATGGCCAACAGGCACAGGAAAAGATGCTCCACATGACCAATCATCAGGGAAATGCAAATTAAAACCACAATGAGATATCACCGGTTAGTATGGCCACTACCCAAAAGAAAAGAAACAACAAATGCTGGCAAGGATTCAGAAAAATAGGAACCCTCCTACTGTTGGTGAAAATGCAAATTGGTGCTGTGGAAAGCAGTATGGAGGTTCCTCAAGAAATAAAAAATAGAAATACCATTTGACCCAGGAATTCCACTCCTAGGAATTTACCCAAAGAAAACACAATTCCTCATTTGAAAAGATACATACACCCCTATGTTTATTGCCACACTATTTGCAATAGCCAAGATATGGAAACTACCTAAGTTTCCATAGATACTATCAATAGATGATGGATAAAGAAGATGTGGTACATATATGCAATGGAATATTATTCAGCCATAAAAAGGAAAGAAATCCTGCCATTTGCAACAACATGGATGGATCTAGAGTGTATTATTCTTAGTAAATAAGCTAGGTGGAGAAAGACAAATACCATATTTCACTTATATGTGAAATATAAAACAGCACTAGACTCATAGATACTGAGAAATGACTAGTGGTACCAAGGGGGAGGGATTGGGGTGGGTGCAGGGCAGGAGTGGGGGGGGAATAAGCGAGCACAATAATTAACGATCACAATATAAGTTGATCAGGGGGACTACTGAACCATGATGATGTACATTTGAAACCAACATAGATTGTATATGGATGATGCTTTTAAAAAAGTGAAAAAAATAGTATGGTATAATAAAATAGTGTATATATCAATATAACAGTACATTATGAAAAATATATAATACTGTATTATATAAGTAGGAATAATATTTGAGCCATGTTTTCAAGGATGGGCCTTTATGAATGAAATGCTTCCTTCCATCGATATGACAATGTGAAGCCTACAGAGTATAGCAGCTAGAGCAGCAGGGCTTTTGGAAGTGACTGGGCCTAGGTTCTAAATTCTGGCTCCTTGGAGCCGTGTGACCTGTGGGATCCCTGGAAGAGGCATGGCTTCCCTTTTCTGTGAAGTGGAGATAAAAGGTAACACCCATTTTGTGGAGCTGGTGTGAGAATTAAATTGAACATACATAATGTCTTAAAGTTAATTCCACTTTCTTTCCTTGGTGGTGCAAAATATATCTGACTCCACAACTTGAAAGGAGAAAACCCAAAGAATGGCTGTGGGGTTGAAGAAGACCTCACAGGAGGGTGGAGGTTAAGTTTAATCAGGGTGTCAAAGATGGCTAGGGAGTGTTGAGGGGCATTCCAGGAGAGAATGGCTTGGGCAAAGGCCCAGAAGGCAGATGGAGATCAGTTCTGAGTGGCTGGTTTTCAGGTGGTACTGTGGTGATGAAAGAGGCAGGTGAAGTCCAACCCAAATTCTGTGTGGAGCTCTGGAATTTGGATATTAAGCTTGAACTACCCACTGACGTGTTATTTGCCCATGTTTGAAGAAATGTAGGGACTGGTTGCCAAAACTCAAAGTGTTGACAAGGGATTTCCTGGCTTCTCAGACAAAACTGGCAGCTGTGGCCATGCTGGTCCCACAGTCCCCCAACTCAGAATGCAGACATTTATTAGTCTGCTCCTCCGGTGCTGCTTCCACCTGGAGTTGCCCTGGCTTGCACTTCAACCCCTGCCTGTCTGAGCACCATGGATTGTCACCCATCAGGAGGGTAACAACACATGGCATGGTCTTTTGGTTGTATCTAGTGGCTGTGAAGGGCTGTTAACCCAGAAGTATGGCCAGTTGGCGCCCAGGAGGTAGGTGCTGGACACACACTGGGATTAGGGGTCTCTGGGAGGTTGCTAAGTGTTTAACAACATAGATCACCTGTTGGGCCACTTTTTTCATGGTAAATTAATCAGATTCCTTTAACCTGTCTACTCCTTGCACATCTCCAGTACTCGTGGAGTTGAGTAGATGACAATGGCAACTGGAACTACCATCCTGTTTAACTTTTTTTTTTCATGAGTTTTTTTTTAATTAATTTTATTTTGGTATCATTAATCTACAATTACAATTACATGAAGGACATTATGTTTACTAGGTTCCTCCCTTCACCAAGTCCCCCCCACATACCCATTCACAGTCACTGTCCATCAGCATAGTAAGATGCGGTAAAATGACTACTTCTCTTCTCTGTGTTGCACAGCCCTCCCCGTGCTCCCCCCCACACTATACATGTTAATTATAATGCCCCCTTTCATTTTTCCCACCCTTATCCCTCCCTTCCCACCCATCCTCCCCAGTCTCTTTCCCTTTGGTACCTGTTAGTCCATTCTTGGGTTCTGTGCTTCTGCTGCTGTTTTGTTCCTTCAGTTTTCTTTTGTT